GAGTACCACGTCATGAGGCCCATAAATATTGGCGAACACAACAGCTTTGTGCTGAGGAAGTTGATCGATCTTAGCGGATTCCTCCTCGGTCAACGACCAGTCAAAGATGTCAATGTTCTGTCTCATTCTCTCTTTGTCGAAGCTCTTCGCCACTATGCTCGCCCCTTTCTCATAAACCCATCTCAATGCAATCTATAATTTAATTACACAGAGTTTTCATTAACATCACAAAATAAATAGATAATAATAAATTTCATTCACCTGAGCACTTGTTTTCCCCTTAAGCTTGGCTATTTCAGCAATAACATCAGAATCCACAATTTTATTATGGCCCCAGAATGTCCCCACGGCACCCAGAGGAGAATAGGCTGTTATATGAATGCCTTTCTGTTTACAAAACTCCCTTAGTTTGTTCTGATGCCAAAGCGGGCTCATCTCCACCTATTCACTTAAGCTTCGATCAAATAACTATACGTACATACGTGTTTAAGAGGCTACGGAAGGAGGACTTACTTGATTGATCACTGGGGGTATTTTGGCAAAGGAAAGCAGCTCTTGAAGCCTTCTGGGAGAGAAATTGCTGACGCCGATGGCTTTGGTGAGGCCCAGCCTTTGGCCTTCTTCCATTCCCTCCCAAACCCCTTTGAGATCCATCGCAAAAATGTCCTCCTTTGCGACTGGGATTCGACGCACTTGAGGATTCAGCTTCAATGGCATGTGGATCAGATACATATCCACATACTCCAATCCCAAGTTCCTGTTGTTTTGTTTCGCCCAAGTTATTTGCATGCATCTGCATAAACGCAAAGAAACAGAGAGCATCATTTGTTACCTGAGGCTGCCCCTAATCCCATCAACAACAACAGGCGGATCAGCAAAACCACAAGACAGCTTGGAGGTAATGAACAGCTCGTCTCTGGACTTTATAACTCCAGCCTCCAACGCCTCCCTGATCCCCTCCCCAAGTGGTTTCTCCGTCCCGTACGAATACGACGTGTCGAAATGACGATACCCAGCCCGGATCGCCTCCACGATGGCGGTTCTCGTTGCCTCTGGCCCCGCTGCCGACATCGTCCCCATCCCCATCACCGGAATCAACTGCCCGTTGCTCAAACTTGCCATTGGAACCGTTGCCATTTCTATGTGAAGCCTCCTCCTCTTCACCTCATTTTATACTCCGACATCTAAGGCATAAGGAATAAATAAATAATTTGTATTAATATTTTCATAACCATCGATGAGGTATAAAACAGGGTTGACTTTGATTGAGTATGATGATATAAATCTATAATATTATTCTATTAGGACTGATTAACTCTAGTTAATTATTAAAAGGACAACAAAGGCAAACTCTAGTTAATTACCTACTTTACGTAAGATTATCATTCATTAAAACTTGTTTATTTAATAATATTATATTACATTGTACAGGTAGGATAATAGGCTGGCAGTTAGCCGTAAGAACCGATATTTTTCATTTTGTAATTATCGTGAACGGACCAACAAAATATCTTATTATTTCTTTGTTTGGGGAGCGGCAAACAAATATAAATATAAATAAATATAAATATATGGCAAGAAAGTAATAACAAAAAAATATATAAATTATTTAAATAAATAAATTTGAAAAAATGCATCAGCTTTAGGTTGTTATAAATGTTAATAAATGATCTTTTGTTTTAAGAGTTTTAAAGTTGAGAGATGGAGTAGATTTTGGTTCTTCCATCTTTCCGATTCTCTTAATTTATTTGTGTGGAGACAAATTTGGTTTGAACTTATATGATAAGAAACAAAATTAAATAATGGCGGTTGTTGCATGCATTACGCATAGTTTTCTCTCTTTAATGTTGTAACACCTTCGCCCTAAAATTCTGACAAAAACTTAGAATACAAATTTGTCCTCTAATGTCTAGTATAGATTTGTCACTTGATGGTCAGCTTGCAAAGTGTACACATTATCTATTTATCATAATTTATTATCTATTTATCATAATTTATTTAGAAGAGTGAAGACTGTCTCCACCAGACATCTAAGATAGTTTTTTAGTATATTTTATCCTCAATCACATTGTTTTTTTAAAAAATCATACAAGATCACCCAACATAAACTAAATACGTTTCATTTTAAATTTTTTATAATTGATCTATCAAAAAAGAGGTACACTTTACTCGCATAGATAATGATTATTAATTATTTTAAAATATTTGTTATCATCATATTCTCAACATCAGCCTTATTCAGATGTGGTCCTAATTTTGTAAAATCATTTTAGTTTGACTAAGTTTTGTAATTAATTAGGTACGTAGTAGGTTATTATGATTAATTTTGTATTCAAAGGTTAGGTGGCGTTAGTAACGTATTTATTTAAAAACATAATTGAGACGTTGAGAAGGACATTTTAAAGCTTAATCCTTTGAGCAAAGAAGTATGCATCTTAATAAATTTCAATCTATTTTCATCGATATAAAGTTTGGTAAACTTTGTGCTTCGTTTCGATCTATTTTTATTTCCAAATCCATATGTCATGATGACTCATGAGGCATATTAACTTTGGAAATCGAAACAGGACAAGAAAACTGGTTGGACCGGTTTGGTTCAACTAAACCACTCCTTCAACCAACTAAACCACCCTTGATGAATTCTTCACCGTTTTTATTAAGGGCTCAAGGGCATAAAAGACATTCCCCCGTCCTCTTCCGATGCTGCCCTAATTCCTGGTCTATAAACTTGTTGGAACTGGAACACCGTAATTTTTGCTTCATTTTCTGGGCTTCTCGCAAATGAACATTTTGAAGCATCCAATTATCAGCAGGCGAGGATTCAGATATGGTGGAGGTACTGTATGTTCATCTCTAATTTTGAGACTCTGGTTTTTGGATTCTCGTTCAAATGTTAGACGCACATTCGTTTCTGTTCCCCCTTTTTCTTTTCTGCTTACCTCATGTATTTGCTTGATCGACTTTTTTGGATTACAATGGTTTCAAAATAGAGTGAGGGGTTGGAGTAAGTAAATATTAGTTTTTGGATTCCTCTGTCCAGTCATTATGATGATTCAGTAGTCAAAATTGTTCAAATCCAGCCAATGGATAGTTAATATGCTCCAAATGACTATGGAGAAACAATATTTTTTTCTCTGGCTTCTTGATAAGTTCTACATTCTGCTGAGCCTTTTTTTTTTGAAGACTGAGAATTTAAGTAGTGAAAGAAAGCTCCTCCCGCTTGAATTAGCATCTCAGCGTGTTGCTGACGAACCATTTGTACATTGTAGCATTGCAAAGTTCGTTCGTTCATTCATCGCAAGGCGCAGTGCTGGAAGTTTGTTCTCAAGAGCAAGAAGTAGTGATTGCTTTAGGAAGCAATGTGGGTGATAGACTGCAGAATTTCAACGAAGCTTTGCAGTTGATGAAAAAGGCAGGGATACACATTACAAGACATGCTGGTTTGTATGAGACAGCACCTGCTTATGTCACTAATCAACCTCAATTTCTCAACTCCGCTGTTAGAGCTGTCACAAAGCTTGGACCTCATGAACTACTGAGTGCAGTTAAGAACATAGAGAAACAGCTGGGTCGTACTGCTGGTATACGCTACGGCCCGAGGCCGATTGACTTGGATATCTTGTTGTATGGAAGATATAAAGTACACTCAGATACTCTCACTGTCCCTCATGAAAGAATCTGGGAAAGGCCATTTGTGCTGGCTCCTTTGATTGATTTGCTGGGTTCAGATGTTGATACCGATGATGTTGCTTGCTGGAATTCTTTAGCTGCTGATCGTGGCGGTCTTTTTGAGTTATGGGAGAAAATGGGTGGTGAATCTCTTATTGGTAAAGAAGGAATGAGAAGGGTTTTGCCCATTGGAAACAACTTATGGGACTGGTCCTGCAAGACTTCCATCATGGGGGTTCTTAATTTGACACCTGACAGTTTTAGCGATGGTGGCAAGTTTCAACCTATTGAAGCTGCAGTTTCTCAGGTGCGTTCGATGGTTTCAGATGGTGCTGATATGATTGACATTGGTGCTCAGTCAACACGGCCCATGGCACCTATGATTTCTGTTGAAGAAGAATTGGATAGATTAGTTCCCGTTTTGGAAGCTGTTACAGGAATGCCAGAGATGAGTGGAAAGCTCATATCAGTGGATACGTTTTATTCAGAAGTCGCTTTGGAAGCTGTAAAGAGAGGGGCTCATATTGTAAATGACGTATCAGCGGGCCAGTTGGATCCTCAAATGCACAGGGTTGTTGCTCAGCTTAAGGTGCCTTATATTGCAATGCACATGAGAGGAGATCCATCTACAATGCAAAACAATGAGAATTTACAGTATGATGATGTTTGCAATGAAATTGCCTCTGAGCTACACTCTAGGATTAGAGATGCAGAATTATCAGGCATCCCAGCTTGGAGAATAATTGTTGATCCTGGGATTGGATTCTCGAAGAACACAAAGCAAAACCTGGAAATTCTAGGAGGCGTACCAAAGATTCGAGCAGAAATTGCAAGGAGAAGTTTGGGATTGTCTCATGCTCCCATGTTGATTGGACCTTCGAGAAAGAAATTTCTCGGTGAAGTATGTTCACAACCGATTGCAACGAAGCGAGATCCCGCTACAGTTGCTGCAGTTACCATAGGGGTTCTCGGTGGTGCAAACATAGCTAGAGTACATAACGTAAGAGATAATGTGGATGCAGTGAGGCTTTGTGATGCAATGCTGAAGGAGAAAACAAGCTGAAGCATGATTGTTTCTCGTTGCACATGCTTTTCATTCTCATTTTTTTAATCAAATTATTATTTTTGGATAATTTGGTACACCGCTCATGCTTTTACTGCTAGCGTCACAAGGAATAAAATGAGTTACGTGATGCCCCCTTGAATGGTATTATCTCAAGTTAGTGGTTGTCATTGATCCATCGGAAGATTGTCTGTCTCTCACTAGTGCCCCTAGGAGTAATTGTTTTCAAGGTTGCCTTTAAATATCATTCGAGTAATCAGCACAAGTATTGGCACTCTAAATGTCTGTTGGAATATTATTATCTGAAAACTTAACCAACAAATACAATGACATCCATTCAAAGTAATGGAAGAACTAATATAAAGAGATTAGAGAAAGAGAGAGTATACACAACTTAGTTCCTCCTTTCTTTGGTAAAAGGGAATTATCTGGTAACTGACGAAGCATGTAAATATCTGACAATTTCAAGAGGCCTAGAAAGTGATCAAGTCAGGTAAGTCTTGTTTATGTACTGGTTTAGAAACAAGGCTCAAATGGGAAGAAGAACAGCTTGCAAAAGGGGCTTGTAAAGTGGTTGATGAACAACAATCTGCATCAAATCTCTCCCATTTGTCTGTAATCACTGTCTTCAACCCCCTCTTTGATCCATTTCCAAGCTCACTCCTCATCTCTCCTCCATTATCTTTCCCATTAAAATTAACGCTTCCATTGATAATTTTCTCAAGATCTTTGATGTCTTCTTCTGGGATCTTCTCCAATTTTAGGGTCTGAGATGCATTCAAAACACCCATTTCTCTACATATCTCAAAGTATTGAGTCAAATCTTCTACGTGAGTTGCTGCTTTTTTGACAACTTGAAGTGCCAATGATGCTTCGGGTTTCGCTGGTGTCTCGTAAATGTTCAACAGAACTTGAGCAATTCCGTTGCAGATTTGGCTGTAAACGTCAAAAATCTCAAAGATGAGATTGTTCATGGCCTCCAAAACTAAGCCCCCCTGTTAGAATGTGATCAATGAAAAAGATTAATTTACCACATTTTTGTGTGGTTGATAGTTTTAATATGGAATAATTGGAAGAAGGGGTGAAGTCAAAGAATTGAACGCACCTTCATATCCTCATCCAAGGGTCGAACTTGAAGCAACATATCCAACATGGACTGCCAAGTTTGAAGCTTAATCAACTCATCCAACAATAGGGGCTTCAACCCTTTCTTCGCATTCTTGGCTTCAGAAGAAATAAGCGAGGACTTCTGATCCAGATATGCGTAATAGCTTCTGACGAAGGCGTTATAACCCCAAGTCTTGGATGAATTGGAATGGGCATCTTCGAAGGCAGAGAGATCGAAAGGCAGACGGCCCATGCGCTGGACGGAGGGAATTTGGCAACAAAAAACGCCATGGATGAGCATAAGACCCTTTAGAGCGACAACCCAGCTTCGTGTCTTCTCCATACGGGAGGAGAGGCCCAAGGCGAGAGGCTTGAGATAGACGGGAGAGGTTCGGATCCACTGAAAGACGCGGCGGGCATTGGTGTAGTCTATTTTAGCACCGTCATGGCTGGTGGCTCGGATGATGGCAGCCTCGAGGTCGGGGTGGCGGTAGGGCGTGCGGGGTGAAAGGGTGGCCAGCCAAATGCTGTTTCGGTCCTTGATTGCTCCGGCAGTCCTGCGCCATAGCTTCATCATCTGGGCGAGGAGACAGCAATGGCGGCAAAGGGGAGGGGGTTTCGGATGTAATTTTGAAGGGAGGGATTGCTATTTTAGTTGTGGGTTTGCGGGATGAAGAAGCGTTCAACGCAGGAATAATGAATGGTTGGGGGTATTGTGCATGCGGGAGAACAGATACTGATAATAATAGTTCATTTCTTTCTTCACAAACCTCCCATTTGCAATCACTAATTAATTTTATCTTTTACCAATAATCCTTATCATTTATTATAAATTCTAATTAGGAAAAAATATAAAACCTTTTTTTTTTTTTTCTTTTATACCCATTTGGATGTGGAGAGGAAAACACAAACATTTAGGTTATGGTATTGTTGCTGTGTTGTACCTAGCTATTTGAAAGTATAGCAAAGACGACACAAACAAAAGAGAGTAATCATCATTGATTGGTTCCTATATCGTAGTTGAGCATTGTCCCTTCACTGTTGCTGATAGCGAAGCAACCGCCTCTCCCACTGTCAAGTACACATTATTTGGCCTCAAAATCTCTCCATTTTCATCTGCTTTTTGCAACTTTTCCAACACTTCACCCAATGGATTCACCAACACAAGCTGTATGAATGGAAGAGAAGTTATATTATCAAAAGTAGTGACCGAGATGAAGTAGTGAAGGTACTTGCCTCGACATCCTTCTTTTCCAATGCTCTTCTTAGATCCTTGAAGAGCAGGACTCCACTGGTGTCTATGCCACTCACGGCTGCAACAACAATTTACAATTTAACTTTACATCATCCACCTCCATATTCTTCAACACAAAATAGAATTACTTAGCTCACCTGACAATTCTAAAACAACAAACTGCAGGCCACCGCCCTCCTTCTTCACGTCATCCTCAGCTTCATACTCTTCTATCCATCTCAAAATCCTTCAAACCAAAGGGCCAAATGGAGAGATGAGTATTATATATATATACACATATAGGCTTCCTTCCTTCCTTAACATAGGATTTGAATGTGAGGGGTTATAAGAAGAACCTTTCGTTGAGATATGTAGCGTTGGCAAAGTTGACTGGAGCTTCGATGCCCAAGATGAGGAAACCTCGGACGCCCATTGCATCCTTGTAATGGTCGAGGTTTCTGTATATGTCTGTTCCAGGTATGTTCCCCAACATCACTGTTTTTGGCCTTGTGATTTGCAGGATGATTTTGAAAATGGATATGCCAACCTGATCGATCATCCAGACCCCAAATGGATTTTAGATAGATATCAATTTTACTTTTTGTATTACTAACACAAGTGAGTGAGTTTTAAGAGAAGGGTGAAAGAGGAGAAGTTACAGCAATGGCGAGACCGTGTTGAACAGAGATGAGAATGACGCCGAAGAAGGCACAGAGCATGACAACAAAGTCGAACTTATCCACCTTCCAAATGGCGTAGGCGGCGGGGACGTCGATAAGCCCAATAACGGCGGTGACGATAATGGCGGCCAGCACCAGATTGGGCGTGTACTGAAACAGAGGCATCAGAAACAGGAGCGTGACCATTATTGTGACGGACATTATGATGTTAGACACGGCGGTTTTGGCCCCCGCGTTATGGTTCACCGCGGACCTGGAGAAGGCGCCTACAAATGGAATGCACCACCTGAGTCGATTCCATTCCATTCCATTAAAGAAAACAAGGTGGAGATTTAGGGATAAAACAAACCTGTGGTGACATAGCAAGAAGTGAAAGAGCCGAGGACGTTCATGAGGCCGATGGCGATCATTTCCTTGTTGCCGTCGACGCGGTAGTCTTTTATAGCTGCAAATGTCCGACCCACGGCTATTCCTTCCTGCATATATGTATGTATATATTGAAGGGAAGGCGAAAATGAAACAATGATTGCGGGAAGCGAATGTTGTAAGGTGCAGACCGTGAGCGAGATGATGCCGGTGACGAGGCCAGTCTTAATAACAAGGGGGAGATGGGAGTGTTGGAAACGGAGCATGTTCCATGAAGGTGGGTTCAAGCCTTGTTGCAATTTCCCAATCTGAAACAATTTCCCAATTGCCCATCATTATTGTTCTAATACACAATTTCCCAATTATTAAGTTTTCTGAACTCCAAACTTACTGTGCTGATGCCATGACCATCGGCCTTGAGTGCAAACACCAATATGGTTGAAAGAATGACAGACGCTAGAGGAGCTCCGGCTGATATCCAGAACAGCTTCGGCTTTCTTATGCTCTGTATGCAATTATTTTTATTTGAACTTTTTGTTAAATAATAGGAGGAGGAGATTATTGATAAAACATTAAGAAAAGAGGAGAGAGAGAAAAGTACGATGTGTCTTGTGATTAGAAGGAAGAGAAGGAAACAAAAGCCCATCAGTATAGTCTGCCACGACCACTGCACACAAATACCAACAGACAAACAAACAAACAAAACAAAACAAAACAAAACAAAAGGTCACCAACTTTTTCATTATTATTTATTTAATTCTTCTTTTGCCTTTTTTTGCTGTCGGAGATTTTAAATTTATTTCTAATAATTAATCTCTAATAATTAACGTGATTACCAAAAGAAGCAGTGTAAAGCTTTTACATGTGATCCATGTACCTACGTTTGTTGTCTCTACTCATGTCTGCGTTCTCTTATGTGTATATATATATATTTAAATAAAAAAAAGAAAAAAGAGTTATACCTCGTGAGTGTGATGAAAAACTGAGGTCAAAACAGGAAGCAAACCCATCTGTTTGGTGAAATGGGTAATTCCAAGCAAGCCTTTAAGCTGCTGCAGAGACACAATAATGGCCGCCCCCGCCATGAACCCAATCAAAGTCGCCTTCGACAGAAAATCGATTATGAGCCCAAGTCTGCATGCCAAGAAAAGAAAAGTAGTAGATTTTTTTAATAAAAAGAAGAAGAAAATAATTGGATTAATTAAGAAGCCCATATGTGTATTATGACCTTAGGAAGCCGAGGGAGGCCTGGAAGAGGCCGGCGAAGAAGGTGGAGGTGAAGGCGAGTTGGAGAAAGAGAATGGGATCTTTGAGGGGGGACACTTCTTGCCTCAGCATGGATCCCAGTATTAGCGATGCTATTGATACAGGCCCAACCGCCAGGTCTCTTGAGCTTCCAAGAACCGCATACACCAGTGGTGGAACAAAGCTTGAATCTTCCATTTTTATTTTTTTTTAACCACAAATAAATGCTTCAAATCTCTACTTGCAACAACCATGTAATGGAATCAAACACAAAGAAGAGAAAAGAAAACACTCACAAAGCCCAACAATGGGAGGCAGATTAGCAAGCTTAGCATAGCTAATACCCTGAAAACAAAACAAAAATAACCTTATAATCAATCAATCAAGCTTATAATCAAATCAATCAAGCTTATAATCAAATCAATCCAGCTTATAATCAAATCAATCCAGCTTATAATCTTGATCCAAACTCACACCTGAGGGATGGCCAAGCTTGCAATGGTGAGCCCAGCAACAACATCAGATTTGAAGAGCCTGAGATTATAATGAGGCCCCCATTCAAGAATCGGGAAAATATACTGAGCTCCGATCACCCATTTCCTCGCCGGAGACTGCCCTTTGAACTGCCGAAGAGGGTCATCGGGGAAAAACGTCTCCTTCAGCCGGTTGCCTAGCCTCTGCAACCCGCTTCTGTGCGGAGGGGGAACCACGGTATGAACTATGTCCACACAGTGCTCCGCCGCCGGACCACTCCTGGCATTGCTATTGCTATTGCTATTGCTATTGCTATTATTATTACTGTTGTCGGGGTCGCCCATTTTGGACTTGCTCATAATAATTCAGCCTTAGGTAGGTTCCTTGTTTCAGAAGAATGGGGGTTGCCTTGGCTTGGCTTTGTATTGCCCTGCTTTATTCATATATATATATATATATATATATATATATATAGATGATTGGTTTTTTGGGGGCTCCGACCTTATCACAATTGAATCATTGGTCAGAATGTGATGTGATGCACTACCTTTCTTCGACTAATAATGGAGTTTCAATTTATCCTCCTCATCGTCTTCTAAATTAATTAAATTAAATTAAGTTGAGCACGGTAAATATATAAATAAGTAAGAGAAATTATGTTAAAAAAAAGAAAAAAATTTGATCAATCATTTTCGTTTGTTTTGGAGTATACTACGTACTAAGTTACGGATCAATGGAGTTTACCACCTTTACCACAAGTTAGTCACGCACGTAATAGGTTGTTTCATATGTCAATTGTCTGTATCGAACAAGATTAGATGAAATGAGAAAAAGAATAATAGGGTATCTAGATTCTCTATTTCTTATTTAATGCAATAGGGTGGAAGAAAAAAAAAAAACGTTATTACTTCTACAAATGTAGCAGCAAATATCATACATAAATAAATAATACAAAAGATATGATTTCAACGTCAAGAAAAAACTTTATAGAGGAAAAAGAAGAGGAAGAGGAAGAGGAAGAAAGAAAAAAGGAAGTCCCAAAATGATTTTAAAATGCTTTTGTCTAAAATTAAAAATTAAAGATCATTGGTTGCCTTTCATTTCTTCCTGCTTTCTCTTTACCTTTACCACGCATATTCCTTCTATTATTCTTTTCCATTCTTTTCATTCTTTTCATACTTATTTTCACCGCTTTATGTTGTTTAAACGCGTCCATAAAGGGAAGGTTTCCACGCCCTTATAAATAATCTTTTGTTCTCCCCTCGAACTAATGTGAGATCTCATTGCTTTTATTCTCGAAATCTATTTTATAATGACCAAATTGAAGAGCTCCCCACGTAGCATCACCAAAATCCGAAACATGCAGAAATTAGAACCACACAAAAATACTTGTCTGTTGGTTGCCAAATTAAAATACCAATCTTGGTTGGTCAAGGAATATGGCCCAACACATTATCATATAAAAATAGATCATGCAACTTACTTATTTTATGTATAATAAAAAAAATGTTAAATTTAAATCAACTTTTTTAAATATTAAACAAAATTGGATGGTCACTTTTTAAAATTATAAATAACAAAGCTAATATATATATTTTTTTTAAATTATAAATAACAAAGCTAATATATTTTTTAAAATTGAAAAAATCGTAAATAGTAATCGTTTCATAATCATATTTACAATATATGTTTTTTCTAATATATAAATTAATGATCACATTTTGATTTCCAAATCTTCTATTTCATTGGATTCCATCATAAATGGAAATTAAAAAAAAAAAAAAAAACGCTAGAGAACCAATTCCTGGTTACACTTGTTTTAGG